TTTCTGGCTTTCACACCAATATCCTATATGCATTCCTCTTCTCCCCAATTTGTACTACGTGCCCTGCCCACCTCATCCTCCTTGACTTGATCATTCTAATTATAGTTGGAGAACAGTACAATTTACGAAGCTCCTCATTATGCAGTTTTCTCCAACCTCCCGTCACTTCATCTCTCTTCCATCCAAATATCCGCCTCAACACCCTGTTCTCAAACACCCTCAATCTATGTTCCTCCCTTAATGTCAGAGACCAAGTTTCACATCCATACAGAATCACAGGCAAAATTGTAGTTTTGTATATTCTAATTTTTATGTTTTTGGACAGCAGACGAGAAGACAAAAGCTTCTGGACTGAATGGTAGCAAGCATTACTCGAGTTGAATCCCCTCTTAATTTCGTCCTGAATCAGGTTTTGATTTGTTATCGTTGTTCCCAAATGTCTAAACTGTGCCACATTTTCGAAACACATATTAGCTATCTTTATGTCATGATTTTGTCCTGCATTGCGTTTCCCGATTAATTTTACTATTCTACCAATGGAAAGAAACGCTTGAGAGAGCGATATGTCGAATATTTTTTTTTTAGAATAGAGACGTAAGAAAGATCATCTTTAAAATTAATTACTTTTCTTGTTCTGTTTATATGCACTTGTCAGTTTGGTTTTCTCAGATTCGGAATGAATATCCTAGTGAATGTACAACTCATCGCATATGAATGAGCTCATTGCAAAGCCAGCAGCACTACTGAGACAACACGGCTCAACACAAGGAACTGCTCCTCTAGCAGGAATCGAACCCGTATAATGTTGTCACGTGTATGGGTGACTAAATACGGAGTTCGGATTGGTAATTGAATTTACTGGACACTTTCAGGTCGTGACTACAAATAATTATAGCCCTGTTACCGATTTTCGCACTACAAAGCACTCTACGCTAATCTCTTCAGTTTATCTGCACTAATCTTCACAGATTTATAACACAGGAACTATAAAAGTCTCACTAAATCACATACTCCCAATATCACTGTCCTACAGCACACACAATGTCTTAAAATCACACGCTAAATCCTCGCTGGCTGACCTCTTCTGACCTTCTGTAGCCCTAGTCCCGATTGGCTCTGAACTTAAGAGATCATGGCTCTCCTTATATAGCCGCTGTACGGACACCGAACTATAGTAAACATATCACGTGATCCTTCTCCAGGCAGTCTATTTGAGGGTCGGAGAGATGCACAGATAACGCAGCTTCCTCTATTGTTACGTACTGGACTGTGTTTATATAGTGCTTGTCTGGCAACGCGTTGATCAAATCTGTTATAGTATAATAGCAATTATACTTTGCCTTTTTCTTAATTTGAAACGCTTACAAATTTGATTCTTTGCTCTCATTAGACGCAGAAGTAATTGTGATAAAATAATTAATTCAAACACGCGGCAGAATAGAACTCGTTGAATCAGAGATCAGTCCATTCCGAAAGCCTTTGCAATCACAGGGCAAAACAGACACTCTCGGACAGGCTTCCATATTAATTATCTAACTCCCTAATACATGGTCTTCCCTTAGCATTTGGTAGGTGCTCAGCTGGCCAACAAGTTCTACACTTTAATAAATCCCGAAGACTCATTTTACTTCTCACAAAAGTCCGTCATCTGAGAAGATAGTTCAATCCATTTCACATTCTTAGACATCAGTTCTCTATGATCAATTTTCGTGCAAGTTAGACATCCTTATTANCTTGTAAGGTTTATTATTATTATTATTGCTGGTGGGGTGGGACTAAGTCCCTTGTACTGCGGCCACTTCTGGCCTATTGTACCAGCCCCAGATGATAGGTGAGGGTGATTGTGGAGCAATTGGTGGAATGAAGATTGGCAGGGGAAACCGAAGTACTAGGAGAAAACCTGCCCCAGCGCCACTTTGTCCACCACAAATCCTACTTGACCAGACCCGGGATCGAACCCGGGCCGCCGCGGTGGGAAGCCAGCGACTAACCGCTTGAGCTATGGCGCGGCCCCTAGACATCCTTACGCCTGCTATTCCGCAACTTGTCGCTACTTCCCACTTTATTAATCGAAAATGTTACATGTAGAGACTAGTAAATATGTTTACAATGGAGTTACAGGAAACCAAACATATACCCGGTTCAGGTAATATTTAACACAGATAAATTCTAGGTAAACAATTTTCTTAGTACGTCTGAAAATAAATAATGGCCTATGTACGATAGCAATCAGACGGTGATTCATATTAGTCTGTTACTGAACCGCACAAATTTTTTGTTTCTTCTCTTCTCCCCATTTATAAGAGAAATGCAACTTCCCATGTTGATCCGAAGAAGAGAATCTGTAATTTGGAGTAAAATCAGATGGACAGAAAACGATAAGTTTTCAGGAAGACTGTTCTGTGTGATATTTCTGTTTCTGATTTCATTTCCCACAGCAAATCTTTTACGCTTCTCTGAGATCGTTTTGTACTGCTCTTCACTCTTTTTCCTTGAGACGAGCCCCATTTTCCAGCAGTTGTCAGAATTCGAATCTGGGCATTTGTCTCCTGAAAATAACTGGTTTCTGGCTTCTTACTCCCTGTAGTCTGATACAATGATACTAACGTTACCAATATTTTGGAAAAATATGCTGTCTCCGTATTTAGGGAATAATTTCTTTGTCCTGAATATGGAAGCAGCAGGCTTCTCCGAAACATTGGTCCATTTGCCCCCAATTCACGGCGCTATATGCCGGAAGACAGAAATCTTTACAGTACCCTCAATGAGAATCTCAAATGTCACGTTTTACCCTTGGTTCCCGAAATGTTTCAAGCAGAAGGCTTTGTAGTACCGCGGGCTACAATTCAAGGCACTGGCCCGTGTGTAAAGTTCAGGAAACCGTAAGTCATAACTAGGTACCGGAATTTAGTGCAAATGCATAATTCTTTCTTGCAACCAAAAGTATGCTCATTTGGATGTATGTATGAATTTCTTCCTTTCTTAAATTTGAGACATGGTTTGATGGTACATATAAACGCATATTTTGCCTTTTTATCAATAAGCATAATTTTGAAGATCTCTATTTACGCTGCATATTTCCTTTTTAAAATATTTATAATTATACATAAATTTTAATTTTATGTTTATGTGTATGAAAATGTTCTTTTCCTTATTATGATACTCTGCATATTTGACTCGCAACATTGTCATACAAATTGCAAGTTGAGTCTGGGTTCATGTTTCTGATGCAATACCCAGGACGGGACTTCCCCGATCCCTCTACTCGTAACTTGCCTCATCCGCGTACCATCAAAGTGGCTGCGAAGGGATTATTCGGAAGCGTATTCACATGTCGCTGCTACAAATGTAATACTATTCCACCGATCATGGACTTTATTTATTTCCGAAGTCTCCGCCAGGTTCGCTACGCTTCTTCATTTGGGGTTGGGGTCATTCATATTAGTGATGACTAGTCCGTGGTTAAGTTTGTAGTCATGCCGGAAGTGAAAGTTAGTCAGAAGACGAAACTACAGCCGCACCAGCGGGAGTTCGAAAGAGAGATGCTAACTACGGATAACAATATTCTTTATTGCCGAGCGTGTGAAAAAACGTATGCTTGTGAAAAACGCTTCCAAGTACTTCAGCATTTGAACACTAATATACACAAAGAGAATATTAAAATTAAATTCACTAAAAATATTCCTGTTCAAAAACTGTTTAGTGAATTTTCTAATAATAGTTTTTCAGAGTTCCATTTTTACTCGTGTGAAACCTTTTAGCGGCAGATATTCCACTGTGAAAACTAAACAGTCCTACTGTGAGAAACTTCATAGAGAAATATACACAGTGCAAGGTGCCAGATGAAACTACTGTGCGCAAAAATTACGTGAAGCAGTTGGTAGCATTAGAGATAAGATTCAAGATAATTTTGTGTGGGTATAAATAGACGAAACACAAAAGTGTGAAGGACGTTTTATTGCAAATATTATAGGTAGTTGGTCCCTTAATAAGAATGAACGATATACCACGTATCTTCTTGACTTGAAGCCACACATAGTTCCTCAGTTTCCGAATTTTTATCGATTCCATGAATTTACAATTGCTGAATGGCATTCAGTATGAGCATGTATTTCTATTTGTGACTGATGCCGCAAGTTACATGATCAAAGCCGGTACTGCTCTGTAAAGAGACCAGTCTCTTCGCTTGCGGATTTCTTATATTTTTCTTTCTACCCTGTAGATGGAGGCGATACGTTCCTCCGAAACTTCTGTTAACACCACATATACACGGTGCCAAATCCCAGAAGACTGCTTTCTTCATAGTCACCGCCGTGAAAGCCTCAAATCTTACAATTTTAATATTTGGTATTGACTTTTTACATGCATATTTTACATGCATACTTTGGAAGTTTTACATGCATAAATACATACATACTTAAGAGATTATTAGGGTATAAATTCCGGTCCCTAGTTATGACTGTATGTGAATATTCTCAATGTGCATAAGGTTACTTGCAAATGCTGACACTTTTTGTGTCACTTGTCAAATAGAACTTAATTTCCCTTTCCAGCCAACTTCATTCATGTTTATTGTTCTGTAATATTGCGTTTTGCTGTTTTTCCATTATGTACAACACATGAAGTTGCATGGTGATGTTGAATGTTTATGAGATGCTGAGGGGGTTGGTGGCTGGGGGTAACAAGTGCTGCCTAGCTACACCCCTCTCCAGCCGGCGACCAATATCATTATAACACGCCAGGGATCGGAACTGCAACTGGGAGCCGAAGTGCTTATTTGCAAATGTCATCCGATTTATTTGGCCACTACTAACGTTTTCAGGGTACCAAGTGTGTTAAATCCGTTCACCTTGTTTATCTCAATATTCTGCTCAGCAATACAGAGAGAGGTGGAAACACGTGGCTTGTTGGTGTAATATCAGCGGCAGAAACAGAGGTACTGGACGGATATGGGAGAGGCGAATTGTAAAATTGCAAGAAACTCAGGCGACGCAACTCACAATTCTAAGCGTTGCTCCATTGCTCCACTCTCCGCCCTGCAGAAGACCGCTCTTGTTCGTAGGACAGTGGCTGCGTCAACTGCAATGAAATACGTACTTTAATCTTCATGCCTAACAGACTAACAACAAAACAGGAAGGTCTACAAGTAGGGTCATAGGTTAGAATCCCGGACGGGACAGTTGCAAATCTTGATGTTTTTCGTGGTTTTTGTTCAGTCAGTCCAGGCAAAACTCAATTAGGCCACTAACTCTTCATACCAAGTCCATCCCAAACTGTAGGTTAAATGCTGAGTAAGAAAAGTAAAAGTAAAGCTATCCCTGTACCAGGCCGTGAAGGCCCATAGGGTTGTGAGACGTCGAGGCTCCCACATTATCTAGACAATTGGCTAAAAGATGGCGGTAAGGTTGTCAGCCTTACGCGCCGGCCCCGCTTTACTCCCCAGGAAAATTATTTAATTAATTCATGGTACTCATTTCTGTTAGAGGCTGAGTAAACCCCATGGACTAGTGCAGCTGGAAGGATTAGGTCATCTGAAAAAAAAAATCCAATGACCTCATCGGGACTTGAACCCGCGAACTTCCGGCTAGTAGCATAGCCCCTCAACCATTACGCTACCGCGTGCTGAGACCGTCCTTAATTAACCCCCGTAAAGAAGTAGACTATCTATCTATCTATCTATCTATCTATCTATCTATCTATCTATCTATCTATCTATCTATCTATCTATCTATCTATCTACCTATCTATGGCTCTACAGCTCTTTGGTGGACTTTGGCAGCTTTTTCAATTCTCTTAATCTTATACACAGTCGGAAGGAATCCTTGGAAAGGGGATCAGTCCGTTGCAAGATCTCTACCTACACACAAAACAACAGAAACATAGAATGAAAGCACACAGACATCCATGCCTCGAGTGGGATCCGAACTCACAATCCTATGGTTCGGGCGAGCGAAGACCGCGCGGCTTCTGCGATCGGCTAGATCAACCTAGGTAAGAAGATGTGGAGCTAGCTAAGTGTTAATTATTATTCATCAAGTTACTGTATACTTGGCTTAAAACTAATTAACCAAGTAATTTTTAACCACCACTAAGAGCGCCACCGACGCCGCCGCCGCCACTGCCACCACCACTACCACCACCGCCACCACTACTACTACTAATAATAATAATCCTGCCGCTGCTACTAACTAATTTACTAACTATCCAGCATTTTAAATACGTGAAATACAGAAAGACTAGTTTAGTAAGTACTGAAGTGCTCTCTAGCGCACTAACAGTTGATGTACTAACAAACTGGCTAACTTACTAATTAATTATATAGTTTATTAAATATCTGGAATGACCATTCCACAACTCGTCCATTCTGAGGACTTTTATCGCGGTGGCCCTAGTTCAGTCAGGTCAGTTCATGTGGGACGGGCAGAGAGCCCCGAGCACTTCGGTTTCCCCTTCCAGTTCTCATTCTGCCTACTGATTCACTTTCTCACCTGTCATTCGGGGCTGCTGCGGCAACCAGTCTCACAATAGTGGCAAACCAACATAGTTCAGTCTCTATAATGCAGGCTGCAGACTGGACGGTCGGGGTTGGCTTCTCAGTAAGAGCAAGACACTTTTCTCTACTCCACAGCTTGCAAACGGGCTCTGAGACCCACCCACTCTCTCATCAAATTGATGCCGTGAGTTATTTCCCCAAGGGAAAGGCGTCAGGTTTGTGAAGCTAACTACCTACCCCATCTAGTGCCGAGGTCAATAATGGTGGAGTTATATATCCACTTCCCCATACGTCTTCATGTTGTGGCGCTTAATTAATTAAACAAAAGGAAAACCTTACCTTTACTTTACCTGAAGCATTAGCGAACAAACTTACTAACTACTCACGTAATAACAAGACAACTAGCTTATTATACACCTGACGTAAAAATAAACTTTATTAAAAAAGGCCGCACCATAGCTCAAGCGGTTAGTCGCTGGCTTCCCATCGCGGCGGTCGGGGTTCAAACCTGGGTGTGGTCAGGTAGGATTTGCGGTGGACAGAGTGGCGCTGCGATAGTATTTCGGTTTCCCCTGCCAATCTTCATTCCGCCAAATTCTCCATCATCATAATCACCCGGGGCAGGTATAGTAGGCCAATCAGTGGCCGCCGTGCAGAGTGGACCCAACTGGACTCCACACCCCACTATGTGAATTAAAAAAAAAACTTATTAAAAGAAAGTGTAGGAAAGCGTTTCGACATTACAATATTATCTTAGAGAGACTTCATTATCACACGCTGACAAAAACTCTAAATTGTTTCGTACATATTTGTATATAGTTTCCGAAAAAGAAAAACAAATTACCTTATACATTACTTATCAAAACAACTGAGCGAACGCATTGTTATGATATAAACCGAATTTCAACATTCTCAATGCAATTAGAGGATATTAAAATGTTCCAAATTCCTACGTAAAGTTGTATGAACGGTGTATTTTTTGCGTATATTATTGTGCAGTATGTTAAAGAAGTTGATTCGAATTAAGTTGATATTTTGTTGTTATGTATAAGAAGGCCGAGTTCATATCTCTTGTACGTGCAATTGCTGGCTTGAATGCTTACCTACTTCTGCCCTTCTCCAGTCGTAATTAAAGTCCGTAAAAATAATTTATATTGTAATTTGACGATACATTGACAAGTGTTTATATATAACATTACTTACACGACGGAGCCTGTCTTCATATTGTGACGTGCCGCCTAAAAGCCGGAATATCAGAGTAAGAGCTGGCGTCAATTGCTAGAAAACGGCTAGGTAGTCACGTTTCTGCTACAATAAGAGCAGTGAATGCATCGTTGCCTAGGTGAAAATTGTAAACACATTTTCATGATAACGGATAAATATTTATTCTCATATCAAAGGATCGGTAGTTTTCATGACAACGGAGGAATGAACTGTTCGACTCGGTATTCCCTAGTCGGTACGCCAAACAGATAGAAGACAGAGCGCATTCGTGAATAGACTCAGAGTTCAGAAGCCAGAAGCGAGAAAGTAGCAAGAAGCGGGAAGCGACAAGTCTGTCACAGAAGTGAAGTAGAGAAAACACAGACAACAGTGAGAGATTCGACATCCAAATGGAGTTGAATGTGTGCATTATTATAACCGAGTGTAATTGCGTTAGTAACATCAAATAAACCTAATCATCAAATCCAGAATCCACAATTATTAATTACGGCTACCCCCTTACACATGACAATATGTATACCGAAACCCACCTATATTTCAGTCGCGCTATCTGTGACGGCCAGACTACACTAATAAAAACGACAACCACCTCAGGCACCAATTAGAGAGGGCAGAACTACTGTAAAGGCAATATATGAGCGACATGTAGTATTGTTGCCACATTAAAATTAATAAAAGTGGCCTACTCTCTATATCAGGCCGGTCACGGTAGCCGAGCGGTCTAAGGCATGTACTGTCTTCGCTCGCTTGGAAACCGGGATCGTGGGTTCCAATCCTCTTCAGGGCATAGATGTTTAGTTTATGTGTGTGCGTTTTTTCTGTGTTTGTGTACAGGTAGAGGTCTTGCGACGAGCTGATCACCCGCCCAAGGAGTCCTACCGAGTGTGTAAGATCGAGAAAAACCGAAGTGAACGGAGAAGTTCATGGAGGTAGGCCTAGGCCCACTGGGGCTGTAGTGCCAATGGGGACAAAAAAAAAAAAAGAAAGAAAAGAAAAGAAACTCTCTAAATCAGAGCGCCTGTTCGAGGTTTAATAAGAAAGCTAGCGAAATAGTTACTTTACTGTCTAGCTCACTTAGCACAACAAACTGTCTGCTTGCCAACTGACCAATTACTAAAAAACCACGTAACTTACGTACGACGGCGTTCATGGAGGTAGGCCTAGGCGCACTGGGGCTGTAGTGCCAAAGAAAAAAACTTACGTACGAAGTAAATGGCTGACTGCCCGCCTGAATGAATGACTAATTAAGTAAGTAAGTAACCAACTTACTATATAACTCACTACCGAATAATGTAATAACGAAATAATATACAAATATAAACAACTGAGGTCAAGCAGAATTTTAAACTTATCTTAAACCGCCCCCTTTTTAAAAAGATTCTGATAATTTTGCTAACTAATAAGTTTGTTAGTCCCTTAGTAGACTTGCATGTTTCCCTTTAAAGTTTTGCAATTGTAGCCTAACCAACTTCTTGTTCTTGTTTCTTAGAAACAATATTCACTCTGTAACGGCCCAACTTCTTTAGAGGCAAAGCAACTTCCTGTAACAAGAAATGATACAGGAACGTCACGGCATCTTGGATCAGCCAGCACGTGTTCAAGACACGGCAAACAATTGTCGCTAACAATAACAGGCAATTCAGTGGCAAGATATTACATATACACAGTGTTTAAATGAACGTTTAATTTAAGAAATTCAAATGGTTATGCTTACATAATTATTTTGTAAATCCAGATGGTGCCAGGTAATTATATTTTATTAACACTTTAAACTTTCGCCTGTAAGCATGTATTAACCCGTCCCATGCTATAAGCGAAGTGTCTAGATAACGTAACGCTGAATTCTTTGGTTCTGAATAATTCTGATATTTAACCGTAGCAGTTAAAGCAATTTCTACTGCTATCGTTTGACAATTCACGTGAATTATAATTTAATTCTGCGACACATACAGCACCGTAATTGGGACAGAAATTATATTTTGGGCCCAAAATCTTAATATCTTCCCATCTGCTCTGAAAGCGATAGGCCACGGCCCTGTTCCGATTTCTATCATCTTCCTAGGTCTGTGGGTATCCCCCTTCTCCACCATGAAACACGTGTCTTTACTGTTCAGGGAACCTAGTCACATCCATTCGTTGAAGATGATCTATCCGCTTTTATTTATCGTAAATTTAATTACCTTGTCCGCGCCATAACTCAAGCGGTTAGTCCCTGGCTTCCCACAGTGGCGGCCCGGGTTCGATCCCGGATCTGGTCAAGTGGGATTTATGGTGGACAAAGTGGCGCTGGGGCAGGTTTTCTCCGAGTACTTCGGTTTCCCTTGCCAATCTTCATTCCACCAATTGCTCCACAATCACCCTC